TGGTTACTGTGTTTCCTTAGTCTCCTCTGGTCTGTGATGGTTTCTCAGTCTTCTTTGCTTGTTTGTTTTTCATGATCTTGACAGTTTTGAGAAGTACTGGTCAGGTCTTTTGTAGAATGTCCTTCAAACTGGGTTTGTCTAGTGTTTTTCTCGTGCTTATGAGAAGGAGCAGGGACCCCTCTTTGGGGTGAGCTGGGCCCCTAACATGGAAATAAAAGAAAAATCTTGAGTCCCTTCAGGGGAAGTTCCAGGCACCCAGCTAACCTAGAGAAGTGTACGGGCAACCGGACGAGCAGGAAGACAGTAATGACAAAGGCCCTCCAAGCAAGCCACAGTCACGAGGTGTTTTGGTTCTCTATGGAAACTAAAGATGGCATCTTAACATATGTTCTTGAGTGGTTTTTCAGAAACCCCCACCGGATGGAAAATGCAGATAAGGGGGAACTGAAGAACTGAACTCTGACCGCAGGCCACCTTTCTTTGTTCCAAATTTCTCTTTGAGGAGCCTGGAGAGTTACGCTCATCTTCACTTTCCTTTCGGCTAATCCTAAAATCCCTGAATCCACCCATAACCCGTGGGCCCCCACCTTTAAGATATCCTACCTTTTTGGGCCAGGCCAATGTATAACCTCCATGTATTGATTTATAATTTTGTTTGCAACTTTTGTTTTCCTGAGATTACCCCTTCCTTCTAAGCCATCAGGGAGTTTGGGTCTTAAGCGCTAGCTGCCCATGCTCTTTGCGTGGTGTCATGCAATAAAAACGCCTCTTTCTCCTGCTGCAACTCCCGGCTTTGCTGCACCAGGTGAGCAGACAGCAAAGACAGCAAAGCTTGGTTTGGTAACAATTTGAGTGGGGTTGTGGGTTTTAAGGAAGAACACCACGGAGGTGAAATGCCCTTGTCATCACATCGTATCAGGGGTCCATGCTGGCAACATGACTTATTATTGATGTTAACTGTGTTCGTGGGAAAAAACCCAAACTCCGTAAAATAATTTAAAGAGGTTTATTCTGAGCCAAATGTGCGTGACCAGCCTGGAGCACATGGCCTCAAGAGGTCCTGAGAGAATGTGCCCCCAGTAGCCGGGTTATAATTTGGTCTTATACATTCGTGGAGACAGGAATTACACGTGAGATCACAGTACCTGGAAGGCGTATGTTGGTTTGGCCTCCAAAGGTGGGGCATCTTGAAGTGGGGAGCTTACAGGTCATAGGTGGTTTTAAAGAGTCTTTGATTTGTAATTGGTTAAAGAAATGAAGCTTTGTGGACCACCAACTACTGGACATTTACTGAAACTCAATATATTAAGTAAAATGATGGCCTGCAAGGATGGTTTAAGCTTAGTCTTGCATGGCCTTAGGCCTGTTAATGATTTTTAGTTTTATTTTTTTTTGAGACAGAGTCTTGCTCTGTTGCCCAGGCTAGAGTGCAGTGGCGTCATCATAGCTCACTGCGACCTCAAACTCCTGGGCTCAAGCAATCCTCCTACCTCAGCCTCCTGAGTAGCTGGGACTACAGGTGCGCCCAGCTAATTTTTTCTATTTTTAGTAGAGATGGGGTCTTGCTCTTGCTCAGGCTGCTCTCAAATTCCTGAGCTCAAGTGATCTTCCCACCTCGGCCTCCTAGAGTGCTGGGATTACAGGCATGAACCACTGCGCCTGGCCTTGATTTAGTCTCTTATTGTTACAAAGACTAACTCCAAAAGGGAGGGAGAATGACAAGGTGTGTCTGACCCCTCTTCTCCTCATGGCTGGCAACTCAATTTTAAGGTTTCTCTGGGGTCCCCTTGGCCAAGAGGGGGGTCTGTTCAGTCGGATGGGGCTGGGGCTTAAGATTTTATTTTAGTTCACAACCATGATTACCTGGTCAAGGGAGTATTTGCCAAGTTACTCCACTGCGAAGTTACTATTCTTCCCTTCCCATACTCTATTCCTTAGAAGCAAGTTATTAAATTCAGCCCACATTTCAGGGGGAAAGGGAATAAACTCTACCTCCCAAAGGAGGGAGTAGCCACATAAATTGTTTGATATTCTTCTTTGAGGAAGATGTCTCTTTGTAACAGAGGGAACAGCCAGAAAAAGGGTAAAATGTTTTATGAGTTGTCTCTTTAAAACTCCTTCCC